TTTCAAATGTAGGAAGCAACTTTACAACTTGAAAAAAGCATAGAAAATAAGGTACACGCATGTATGCAAACAATTAAGTGAAAAAGTGATGAATTAATTAAAAAAAACGTGTCAAATGCGGCATTCAAGGTATAGTTTTCATTTTGGGGAAAAATGGTTGTTACCATCATTTTCTACATGTCTTAAAGTGTGGGAAATAAATTTAAAATGTCAAAAAATGATGAGAATTAAGCTGTAAAAAATTAAGTGAAAAAATGGGTCTAATTTCAGTATTAAAAATGAACCGTTGAGTTTAAAAAAAATTGGATTGCACCATTAAATTCTGCACACATTGAAACCTAGGAAATAATTTTAAAATTTCAAAAAAGCATAAATAATAAGGTACATACATGCATGCAAACAATTAATTGAAAAAATGAGTGGAAAAAAAAATTAATAATCAAAATTCATTTTTATGGAAAATGGACTTTACCATTAAATTCTACACCCTTCAAAGTGTAGGAAAAAATTTTAAAAAATCAAAAAAACTCGAAATTAATGGCAAAAATAAATTAATTAAAAATGCGGGTTTAAAAGCGGAATGCGCGTGTGCTGTGCCGCAGCAAAAGCGCGTCAAAACGCGGAAAATGCGGGTTTTTTTATTAAGGCCCTTTTTTTTACTCCATATCCAGTACTGGATATGAGGTAGTGTTGAAAGTGCCCCTCTGGGGGTAGTTGAGAAGAGGTGATGCGCACTGTACGCGCCAAAACAAGGAAAAATCAGGGAAAATCCCTATAAACGGTAAACCCCGGGGTTTCAGGGTTTGGCAGATACCCATCCCGATTCCCGATAACCGGGGTTCGGTCCCGGGGCAGCCCCGAAATCCCGGCCATCGGGGTAATCCCTTATGCTCGGATCGGATTATCATCATCTGAAAGTTTGGATAAGCCAGTCTGAACTTCTGAAGTCAGTTGGATGTCGTCATCGGTCGATCATCATCATCACTCGAACCTCGATATAAAAGCAGGACGGTCAACAGGGAAGTGCAACTTGAAAGCGGTCAACAGGCGTTCCACAACATAACCAATCTGTTGGGAGGAGGGAAAGATGGCAAACAGTCAGACTCAGGACCAAGAACAACAACAATCGACTACTAATACTACTAATACTACTAGCTTCTTAGCTTCACCACCACTCAAAGCAAGACAATCCCAATCACCAACAAGAATCCAATCACCCTCACCACATCGACTAACGCAACAACAGAGAGATCCAACACCAAAGGGTCTCAACAGAACCTCAACCAACTCATCATCTTCCCATACTCATCAAAGAGTTCATCGATCAACCTCAACCTCAAACAAGAAATCTCCCGTCATCTTCCCTCATCACTCAAAATCTTCGGCTCACTCATCCCCTCGAGCTAATCAATCCTCACTCTCAAGAACTTCTTCCTTGCATTCCACCTTCAGTGAGGCTGCGTACAGATCGAGCAACTGTAACAGTCCCACCGGCAGCTCTCAACCCTTATCAAACATCGGCTCACCCGGCTCGAATATCACCGCCAATGCGGCGATCACTAATCCGAATAATTCCAACGCATTCAGCTCAAACAAGAAGAAATCTTCCAGGCATCCTTCCTTCTCCTACCACGGTCTCGAAGGTAAAGGGAGCACAGGTTCTCAGGTCCAAAAACCTGATTACAGTGAGGCTAAGATCGTAGTCGCAATGGTAAGCTCTCTCTTTCTCTCTTCCCAGTTATATATCCTATATATACCAGTCTCCTAACAAAATCTCTACGCAGGTTGGTCTACCGGCTCGCGGAAAATCTTACTTGAGTAACAAACTACAGAGATATTTGAAAGTCAGTCAGAAGATATAAATCATACTCTTTTGCTACCAATAATAATCTCTTCTCCTTTTGTTGTATCACAGTGGTTAGAGTTTAGTGTCAGGGTTTTCAACGTAGGCCAACACAGAAGAGAAAAGTTTAAGAAAATGGCACAAGAATTGGGCCTAAAAGAAGATCAATCTGCCAATTTTTTCGGTGTGTTACATCTCTCTGTATGTGAATTTATCGGATTTTATGATTGACATGTTCCAAATCTTCCGGCGTTTGAAATCAATAGATCCCAATAATGCATCCGCAAGACAAACTCGAGAACAATTAGCAGCTGATTGCTTAGAGAGCTTGATAGCTTGGTTGAAGGCTGGTGGAAATGTAGGGATACATGGTACGTCTTTCTCGAAAAAATGAATCAACCCAAGAGACGATTGACAAAACTGATTGGGAATCTACAGATGCAACCAACACGACCAAAGCAAGAAGAAATGCGATAGTAGAAAGGGTCAAGAAGGAGAAAGGTATCAGTTTGATCTTCTTAGAATCGATCTGTACCGATCCAGCGGTCATCGAAGCCAATGTCGACGTCAAAGTAGCCTCAGGAGATCCAGATTATGATGGCCAACCTAAAGAGAACGCTAAGGCTGACTTCCTCAAACGGATTGCTCATTATGAAGCTAATTATGAGACCGTCGACGAGCCTGAATTGAGCTTCTGTAAGGTCGTTAACGTCGGTTATGAGGTCACCGTTAATCGTATTGACAAGTTTCGTCCATTGCAATTTTCATACCTTTCTCTCCTCTGTCAGATCAAAACTGATTGTATATTTGGCCTGTCCATTTTTTTTTTTTTTTTTTTTTGGCTTTTGCAGTTATTTAGCGTCTAGGGTCGCATTTTATTTGATGAACTTGCGTCAGTTTTCTTTCTTTCTTTTGGAACTCGCTGTCGAATTAGCATGACTCATTTCTTGTTCTCTCTCCCTCTTTTAATATCCTACTATCCATTGACGTTTCACCCTGGTCCACGTTCATTCCACGTCCTAATAGACATTTCCCCCAGATCGATTTTCTTTACTCGCGTAAGCCTTTTCTTCTTCTATGATAATCATGGTCCCGCCGAGCTCATCAGTCCGTTTTTTTATCTGCATGTGTAATGATGCTGTAGCATGGCGAATCCCAATACAATGTGGAGGGTAAAATTGGAGGTGATTCTCAATTATCGGAACGAGGCATGGAGTATGCAAAAGCATTGCCTAAGTTGATCGCGGATGCGATTGGTGGTACGCCGTTGACTGTAAGAGTTTTTTTCACAATTGAATCAACATACAGCTTTGGTTTTTTTTTATCATGCGTGTCTGATCAATTTTGAAATAGGTTTGGACTTCAACTTTGAAAAGGACAATTCAAACCGCACGCGATTTACCATATCCTAAACTCACTTGGAAGAGTTTAGATGAGTTAGATGCAGGAGTGTGTGATGGAATGACGTATGAAGAAATAGAAGTTGCGTTTATGGACTTTCACTTGCTTGACTAATTAAATCACAAACCTGCTATACACAGTTCAATAGCAGATGTTAATATTTTCTTTTCTCTACCTGTTTCATGATCATGTATAGGAACATTATCCGGAAGATTACGCGGAACGAGATGATGATAAATTTAATTATCGGTACCGAGGTGGAGAGAGTTATCGAGATGTAGTGGTTAGATTAGAACCGGTGATTATGGAGCTTGAAAGACAAGAGAACATCTTGATTGTTTGCCATCAGGTATATTATCTCTCTCTTCTTTGTATCATCTCTTTTTCATAAGAGCTTTTAACGTTGGTCAGAAATTGATGATTTTTGATTTTTGTCAGGCTGTTTTGAGGTGTCTCTATGCTTACTTGTAGGTGCCTTCCTTCGGTCCAAAGAGAAACCGCTCAGTTGTACTAATTCTGTGTGCGACAAACAAATATATGTAGTCACAACTTTAGTCAAGATGAAGTAAGTTATTACATCCGCATCTTTAGCTGATGTTTTCGTGACACAGTATGATTAGATTCATTTAACTGATCTTTTCCTTTCCGTGATGTGATGATCACAGTTACCATATCTCAAGATTCCCTTGTTGAGTATTCCACTTACTTGAAAAAACTTCACCCATCAATCATGATTCACATATTTTGAAGAAATGTCATATTGACTATCAGGGTTTAATCAATAGACATACGGTGATTAAGCTGACTCCGAAGGCGTATGGCTGTGATGAAGAGAGGTTCACTTTGCCGATCGAAGCAGTCGATACGACTAGGTCCGTAAATAATACACATCGTTTTTACAGAAAGTGGTAGAGTCTTTCTAACTTCTGTGTGTTTGTAGACCTAAACCTGTCAAAGCTGGGTACACCCCACCACTTCCAAATGTTAATGATAGCCCTTCTCCGAGTACTAGACCGTAAGCTTGTTCTTCTCTCTCATTATTCTCATACAATTAATTCAAAAAAAAAATTAGATTCTTTGAAACTGGATTTCGGTCTTCATTAATACTGATTTACCATTTTATTGTTTAATAATCCAAAAAAACTATCAGTCCTCCTAAAGCCTCTATTAAACCTTGATTCTCACAAGTATCATGCTCAAATTATTAAAACGCAAAAAATAGGCTCTCTTTTTTTGTCTTCTAATGACCATCAATTGTTTCCTCTATTTTTTCAAGAAAACCTGTATATTATAGTCCTGCATACATAGAAATTTTTCTTTTAGTTCAACTGACCTACCTTTTCTTATTTTTTTATATGGTTTATTGTGTGACAGTGATGAGTAGACAAACAGAGGATGATGTCAAGAGAAAAAATCATGATATTTTTTTTTTTTTTTGCTGGTACTGACTAGTCAGATCTCATACATAGATCATATGTATGTACTCATGATACATAGATGTTGATATATATTGTGGACACTTTTGTTGTAGGTGGGAAGGTTTTGTAGTACCTGCCCTTGTGACTGACTTTTTGTAGGCTTTCTTCCAGCCCTGGAATGGAAAGTGATTGTGAAGAGCAGTTGGACGCAGCTGGGAGTTAGAGGAGGAGAGGCCCCTTGACCGTTTGTACAGACAGTGGTAGTTGGATGTGTGCTCCAATGAGCTTGATCAACCATACATACAGTGGGCTTGATTGTGTTATGTAATTTGTTTTATCCCCCATTATGCACACTTCTTTCATTCATTCAAATGTCACATTCCTTATCATTGAGGAAGGCTGTGCAGACTCTACTTTTGATTTTGAGTTAACTTCTAATTATTTGACAAGAAGGAAATACAAAAATAGGGTAAGAGAACGCAGGGGTTTAATTGAAATGTTAGATATAGGAGAAAGAAGAGACAGAGAGGGTAGGATGGAAGTGATTCAATGAGAAGCGTCAAGGATTTGTTGAGAGAGAGATTGATTGGCGAGTACGGATTGATAGTGAGCTTCGGCAGGGGAGAGACCGAGGGCGGTGATCGGTTGACGGAGGTCACGAGTGAGATGATGTTCGAGATGTCTGACGGCATTAAGGTCGAGGATAGTGAATTTACGAAGGAGAAGATGATAGATGCCGATCCTACCGGGTTTGAGGTCAGCCGGATGGGGTTTACCAGGGCGGAGGTCGTTGGGATGTGCCAGGTCGATGTTGTTGAGGATCGGGAGGATCTTGGTGCGTTGGATGCGGGCCCATTCTGGACCAGATTGGCCGAGCCGGATTCCATCTTTAACGAGATGAGTGCGGGCAAGCGCCTGACGGAGTAATCCGGGATCCTTCCAGCCATTGGCTTCGGTGCCCCAATGACCTCCAGCGATCATCACGGCACTCGACCAAGCTCGTTGGTTCATCAATCTTGCTAGCTGTTCACTCGCTTCCTCTTGCCCATCCATCTCGAACTTGTCCACCACGATCAGACGCCCCTCTCGCCATCGTTGGCTCAAGATCGTCCGTAATCCTAGCTCCCATACTTTCCGTTGGATCCCTTGGGCCCAGTCTTTCGGCTTCGGCCCAAAGGCCGCTCCTCCCTTCCGTAAGGTCGGCGAGGATGCATCGCCTAATCGGGCTCTTCCGGAGCCTTTTTGGGGTCGTAACTTTCGGCCTGACATGGCGACTTCTGATCTAGTTTTCTAGTATGCATTCAAAGGGAGTGAAGGGAACAAGAATCAGTCAAATAATTTTCATATTCTCAATGGGGCAGGTTCCCGAGAGGGGTAGTAGCAGGATGAAGACTGAACTGTATTAGCACTGCCCGATCGCATCAGGCTTCGTTCGAAGTTCACGCAACGATGGATGATATCCGACCGGAACGGTTGTCCGAATACGAAGCTCGAGAGGGGGTAGACCAGTTGCTCATGGTCCGAGGGTGACTGTTGTTCGGGTCGATTGATGTGGAACTTGTTGAGGATGACGTGTTGGACTGATTGGCCATGAGTGAGACCTATGCAGATTGTGTTTCAGTTGATTGATTGTTCAGTTTTTGGATGAGATATGTATGGTTTACCTTCGATGGGTTGTTGTTGGTATGTTGTTGGTTTGATGGTCGTTTGACTGAGCCTGAGCAGTCTTTTTGCCATCTTCTTGACTTGGTTGTTGTTGGTCGCATGTATTGTCGATTGGCATGGAAAGCCGAAAGTTGAGAAGTTGAAGGGGGGGCAGCAGGGGGCAGGGGGGGCTTGAGTTATTGTAAGGGGGGGTGGGATATTGAATATGCATACAGCCAGCTTAAAACAACAACCCAGTCAGAACACAGCACACCAGCACAACCACTTCCAACTCAAACCCAAATGAACAACCAACAGATCAAGCCAAACAACAACAAGACCTCAACCAAACTCAGACTCAAAGTACCATCAAACCAAGACAAGAACCAGCAGAACAACCCAAACTCAACAGACGACCACCACCACCATCAGAACCTGGGCATCTCAAACTATCTACAGGGCTATGACAGAGAACTAGACTCAGATCAGGATGAACCGATCGGATTCGAAGAACAGTTCATACTCAAACTGCCCGAAAGCCTCACCAATGAATCAAACAAACTACGCGAACTCGTCGAATCGCGCAAGGAGATCAACTCTGAACAACAGAACATCTACTTCAAATTCAAAGACTCCAGAAGGGGCATCTTCAATATCGGCGACAAGATGTTTGGAATGAAATTGGTCGACTTGCCCTGTGTAATCGAATCTCAGAAAACCTTCGACAATAAACACATGTTCAAAATCGCTGATATCTGTCAGGTCAGTCATCAAACTAAACCAATTTACCCAGTCTTTGAAGCTTATCTTTTATTGTTTTTTTGTCGAAATAAGATGATCTTAGTAGAAGATACCCCCATCACAAACGAATCCACTGTCACCCAAGGGAACTTCAACATCCAAGACTTCATCTATCCACACGGCCTAACGCCGCCCTTACACCATGTCCGAAAGAGACGGTTCCGGAAACGACTGAACAAACGGACCATCGAGACCGTCGAGAGAGCGGTGGAAAGATTGCTAGAGGAGGACGGGCGGGCGGACCAAGTGATCATCGACATTGTCGATAACGTCCGAGATCTGAGCGACTCCGAGGGAGAGGATTATCAGCCCCCTCAATCGGCAACCCTCGGCTTCGGCAACCAACCCCCTTCGAAGATCGTCTACAACAAACCTCGGCCGAGTATCAGTAGTCACGCCAAACGGAGCTCTAGCCAGCCATTCGATCCTCATGGTCAGCACCAGCACCAGCACCAGCAACATCAACAACAACACCGTCATCATCACGATCAACGGTCGAAAGAAGGTCGGTCGCATGACCATCAACACGTTGATCCAGACGGATCTATCCAGACCATCACGGCCGACACACCGATGGGAGAATCGCTCGGGGCGCCCACGCCAGCCGGAGAGGAGTTCGAGGACAGAGGGACGATGAATGATGATGACGAGGGCAGTATCGATAGCGATCTGGCGGCGGAGATCGAGGCAGGCTTGATGGAGAGTGCGGCGGCTGAGGAACGGGCGGCGGCGGGACTGACGGGCCCTGAAGATGAGGAAGACGAGAACGACAGCGAAGATCTGTTTGGAGATGGAGATAACGATGATGAAGAGGAAGAAGAAGAAGAGGATGATGAGGAGGAAGAGGATGATGACGAAGAAGAGACGAACGAGATGTTGGAAGATAAACAGCGGATCCGACTGCTCCAAGGCGAACTGAAAGACCTCGAAGCGGCCGTCAATCGGAAGAAGATCGAGACCGCCGGGGCTAGTAATCTGATCGTCCGAAAACGGTTCGAAGAGGCCCTTAAGAAGCTTAACTTGGAATTGGAGTCCAAGAAAAACCAGCTCAATTCCACACAAGTCAGTCTACAGAACGCCATCCTGGATCGCAAGAAAGCCAAAGAACTGGCCAGCTTGGAGAAGAAGAAAGCCGCCCTCGACAATCAGCCCAATTCTAATGATCAGGATCAAGTGGTCGTCTCTTCCCATTCTTCGCCTCACCCTCCTGCTCAACCTTCTTCTTCTTCTTCTAATTTAAATCAATCGGAATTGGATCACCTTACTCTTCAAATCCAGCTTAATGATAACCCACCACAACCAGAACATCAACAACAAGAAGGAGGACAACAACAAGAACAAACTGAAGATCTCAATCCAATCTAATGTCCCTTTTTGTATCTACTCAACTCTTGATAATGATGTCTTTTTTCTTCTTCTTGAAATAACTTGGTTTGGTCTTTGATTGACATTATTAGTGTAGATTTTTTTTTTTTGATGTCAATAATCTATTTCAAATTTTATTGATTTGATTTGATGTATATCTCCTTCTCTCTTTTTTTAGTCTTTTTTTCTTTCTCTGTTGTATGTAATATACTGGGCAGATTTGTTGAATTTTTTTTTTCAAAAGGGCTAATTAGTGGACCACCTCTCTACCAGTCCTTGCTCACAGAGGTTGACTTGACCTTGTAGGAAAACAAAAGAAAAAACAAACTTCTGTCTACAAGCTCACTGTCCAGTTAAGCACATGCAAAGCTTTTGTCCAAGTGTTTGGGGTACCCCACAAGCCCAACAGAAAAAACCAGTTATGACATCAACATCCATCAAAAAAACAACCAGATATCTAAATTTGATTCCCAGTGAAATAGAGGAGTGATGAGGTTGAATTCAGTAAGCTGCTTAACACAGAACTAATTGGTTCAACGTGAGCCAAGTATGAGATCAGATGTGAGAAAGTCCTAGTCTTACACCTTCTTGATCAAGGCCACTGGCCAACTGGCAGAAAAAATGGCTTATAGGTCAAGGGTATCCTAGGTAATTTGGGATGCACTTAGACAACCTACTTAAAATGGACTGAGACTGAGCTGATGGAATATGGATCCAATTATATTCCATGTGTCAGGTCAGCTCAGCCTGTTGATACCTAGCTTGATTGGTGGGTCCCAAGTGGACTAGGATTGTCAGCTCTGGTCTCTTATGTGACCTAGAGTTGATGGGTTTTGGGTCACACTTTAGCCAAAAGGGCCAGTGGAATTAAGCCTCTCCTCAACACTAGTACAGTGGAGGGGCTAGCTCCTTATAATAATAAGGGACAACAGTGGAATGAGCTTCACTGTGCCGGTGCTTAAGAGATTAAGAAGGATAAAGTTTGTACTAGTCTTATAAGTTAATAAAGTAACTTATAAAGACTAGTAATAAGATAAAGAGGAAGGTACAACAGGTTATGTAGATAATATATTACTAAAAACCCCACTCACTAAGTATATGTTTTAGTAAGGTAGTTGGGTTGGTATGGTAATATTGTCTGGGGGATGAATCTCAGGGGGAGAGGCATCCTCTTAAATATTACAGAGCAGGGGTCAATTCTGCTGCTGGGACCGGTGCAGTCCCCTTATTGTTACACTTTTCCTTGGGGGAAAGTGTCAGGATATTCAGAGCATGATAAATGTACATGTGTTGAATATCCTTTATTTCAGAAAATACCATAAGAGAGATAAACATAATAATCATACACACAAGAGAGGTAAATTGGATAATCATCTCTTGGATACACCCAGGAGATAATTATCCTTTTCAACTTGATTATAATTTTCATGAAAGAGGTAAATTACTAAAGAGGTGCATCTTTATTAATTTACAGAATAATTATTAACATAAAAAATACAGGTAAAAAGGGATAACATTATTTTATAATTATTAACTTAAAGATTACATATGATAATAATTGTTATGTAACCCAAGGGGGTTACATTCTATTGTAGACACCTGGGCTAGTGTCTCAGTGTCTGACAAGGATACCCTCAACCTGACCAGGCTTTCTGGAAGCATGGGCACATACAAAAACTGCACCAATGATACTTCAATTAAGGCTGTAACACTGAAGATTGGGTGTGCTGTTGCAAGGTATGCTGAACTATCACTAGGGGACATTTGGAGGAGTCTAGCATAGCAACCCAGTGTTGATATTCAATTTTGGATTAAGATTTTGAATCATCTAATAGCTTATTCAAAGAGACACTTGGGATGTGGATCTTAAGTGCCTTTACTGACCAGTACACCACGGGGCATGTTTTTTGAAACTGGCCCCGTCCAATGGACACTTTCCTGAGGAAAGTGTCCAATGGATGCAATCATATTGTCTGATGGACTCTCTGGCAGGCAAGCATCACTTGGATGTTTCCAAAAGCATCCAAGTGATGCTGGCCAAAGATAAGTGTCCCATGGATGCTAGATTCATTGTCCATTGGAAAATTTCCAGTGGGGAGTGTCCAATCAATGATGGTTTTGAGTGTGTCCATTGGACACTTTGATTTAAAATTCCTGATTGCAGCTTGTGGTTGATGGTCGAAAAACACTCCAAAAGTGTGGTTGATTGTCAAAAAATGCTTGAAAAGTGTGGTTGATTGTCAAAAAAGGCTCTGAAAGTGCAAGTGCAGTGATTGTCAAGAAAAAAGCTCCAAGAATGCACTTGATCATCAAAAAAAGCTGTGAAATGGCTTGCTCCAAAGTCCAAATTCAGTCTATCAATACCAATTTGGGTGTCCTTCAAAGAATAATTCTGCATAGTGCAGTCAGCAAGGACAAGCCTTCTTGAATTTCAGTGGCAAGGCCCTGAGGTCTTGAGTTCAACTCTGAAATCTCCTCACCTTTTTTCTTTTCAGTGCAAAAAAAAATCATCCAGTGGACAGCTTGAAAACTATCCAGTGGACAGTTTCCCAGAAACTGTCTGCAAATGTTGGAGATAAATACCTTGAACAAACCAATCAATCAGATTTGGTTTGATAACAAGTGATTTTCAAGGGGCAAGTTAAGAGGGGATGTTGGAAAAGTGGTGGGGTGAGTGTCAGGGTGTAAATGGGTCGGGTCGACCCGAAGCCGACCTGAGACCCGACAGGTCATGGGTCGGGTTTGGGCAGACTTTGTGAGAAAATCACATGA